ACATGCGCGCTTGTCACTTGGCGCAGCCAAGACCACGGGGCCGACCATGGCGCTAGGCATTGTGAGGCTTGCTAGGCCGCCATGGGGCGCGGCCAAGGGGTCATGGGGCATGTCTGGAAAGCAGCCCATGACATAACGCATAAATCGAGTTCGGCTCATGTAAGACTCACCTACTGACCGAACAGGATAACAATTTTCGTGAACTAAAATAATCAGACACATGTGAGTATTACTGTGGATTACAGAGCGAGTGGACACATCGGCGCACTGAATCAATATGTATTATTCGTAACTTGAAAATATTTGCAGCTCCTATTCCAACAAGATTTTTAACAATCATGCCACGAATTGATCGAGAATCATGTGAGATTGCGATAGAGAGGGTTAGAAAAGAGAACAACCGAATGTCATTGAGACGCGGTCGGGGTTTTGTATGCTTAACTTGGGTGAGGAACAAGCAGCATTGACTGCTAGGAATTTGACATTAGTTGAAAGAAGAAATGTAGCAAACGAAGATTATCTATTAGATGATGATATTGAGTGCTTCTATCCTACAAATTAGTAAAATTTCTATGAGTTGAACACGGAAGCTAATAACATTATCAAAATTATAGTATACCATAAATTTGCATAACATGTAAAAAAAAAAAAAAACAAATATATAAACATAAAACATAAAATCTACTGAAACGATAACTGCTAATGTGTCGATGCTACATAACACATACAAAAAATACAGATAATTTAATTAAAAATACAATATTTTCAAAAAACAAATGATAATAATATACCGCCTATCAACTTTAGATGATCCCTCTAGCTTTTCATTTTCATTCAGCTATTTTTCAGATGATCTCTCTCGTGTTCAATTTCGGTGAATCTATCTTTTAAGTGTTCTCTTATTTGTTCCGATTCTTTCAGTAATGTTCTAAGAAAATTCATATCCTCTTCGGCCTTTTTGAACTTATGTGAAGTTGCAGCATCAACGTCAACCGAGGGACTTCTCAGCGGATAGTTTTGATCGTTGGCTCATTGTGCCACCTAAAATAGTTGCAAGCCCCTTTATTCTACAATATTCAACAAGTAATTATCAATGGGTGAGTAAAATCACGTTTCTTATATGAATATTAATCGACAGAATCTCACTTTTAATAGTTTGCAATCCCAACATCTTATAAGTAGGGGTTTTTATCAGTTGTGAAGTCCTCAACTTACAGTAGTCTCCACCGTGGCAAATATGGCATTCTATGGAATGCATTGAACTTTGTTAAAGCACTAGACATAACTAATCTTAAGGTGAAGTTAACGAAGAGAGAATGAAAGAGAAATTAAAGAAGACAAGCTTCGATTCTTCGAGATGTATTTTACGTTACTTTGGTTCTAGACTCATTGAAAACTGTCTCAAGTGTGGCTCTTTCAACTTTAAGATTACCTTTAGGAGACAGATCATTAAGACTTCTTTTGTGCTGCAGAACAATTGAATAGTATATTCCAACTTAGGGTATAACTGGAAATAAATTTTGATTTTCCCAAAAAATCAAGAAAAAGTTCAATAGGACAAAAACCGAAAACATTAGTATATTTCTGAAAGTAGTAAGCAAAAACATCCTGATAAGCAGTTAATTGACAAAGGGAAAATAAATAGAATAAACTGTAAGTAATCACTGTCACATGCAAATAAGTTATAATATTCGACCACAGAAAATATTTTTGCAGGGATTGGGTCATTTTGGATTCTAATCCCTTGGAATTACATCTGTATTCTGGTATGATCAATTTGCTTGAACATAAAAATGGTGAAAACCGAGTAACATCTAAGTCGAATACCTCTTAGACTAATAATAGACGGGTCAAAACAAGAACTAATAAATTAAACATGACTCATCCTTTTTCTGGAAAATAAGTATCCTGATTTCTCTAAAGCTCCGGCTCAGTATCCCACAAGACTGGTGTTTCATGTAGCTACCCAATCTTCCAGATTTATTTAGTTTTGTAAACCAATTTCATTTGCCGCTGAGACCATGAATTGTTAAAAAAGAACACTCTGTCCGTCTCATTTGGTGCAGATTGATTAGATGGACTGTGGGGCATTGAGGAAAACTAAAAGCTTGTTCCAATCACAGTCCTCCATGTTTTGTGACATAATAGCACCTCCCACGGCCACGGCCACGGCCAAAAGAACAAGGGCAAATCCTTTCAGACATCCATGTCCATGAGACAGCCTTGATAGCAAAATTTTACAGTACTTATCTGCATCTCTGAAGTGTGACCGGTGAGCATCCACTGCACCAGTTAATGATTTCTCATTCTACAAGCAAAACAAGAAGGAAAAAAAGTCACCTTTGAGAGGTAAGAAATCTCCCAAGAACGGAAATTTTGACTTGGATCAGTTTGAAGCAAATGTAAACTAGCAACAACTGTGGCAAGCAGATGTAACCCCACACACCCGCCAACCCGCCAGAATAAAAAACAACAATCAACTGACCACTGTTAGATGTACCATGATTCTGAAATTGCTGGGACTAAGAGTCTGTTTGGCCAAGCTTCTGGAAAGCCAAAAGCGGACTAAAAAAAGCACTTTTTTGAAATTTGAGGTGTTTGGCCAGAACAGAAAAGTGCTTTTGAGCATCAGCAGAAGTTGAATCTTTTGGAAAGAAACTACAAATTCTGGCTTTTTCAAAGAAGCATAAACAGAAAATTAATTTTTTCAAGACAAAAATATCCTTACCATGAATTTATTCTTTTTAAATATCCCTCAAAAATTAACCTTTTCCCTTCTTTTTTTTGTTGTTTCTACCATCCTTCTCTTTTTTATTTCAGCATATTTGTATTCTCCTTCTCCTATCCCCTTTGGAATAGTTTTTCTACTATATAAATCTCTTTTTTTAAATTCTATTGTTTCTTCTTTTCTTCGTCTCTCATTCCTCTTTGAAATAAATTATAAGGCTAATCACTAGATTCAAGCATATATTACAGTTGAAAGAATGCAATACTACCTAATAGATAGTGTTTTTTATATTTATTTAAAAAATTAATTAAATTCTTTTACAATAAATATTTAAATTTCGTTTTCTTTTAAATAATATTAATTGTAAAATTAACATTGATACATTTTTATTTTTGTAATTTGACACTCAAAAGTACTTTTGGGAGGACTCACCAAACACAATTTGCATATTAAATATTGCAAAAAGAACTTAATGAATTGGCCAAACACAAACTGATATTCTCCAAAAGCACTGTTTCGAAAAGCATTTTTGAACAAAAGTACTTCTCAAAATAAGCAGTTTTAAGAAGCTTAGCCAAACCGGCTCTAAGTAGGACAAAGGTTGCTAGGACAGAAAAGCTATAACTACGAACACAATTTGCATATTAAATATTGCAAAAAGAACTTAATGAATTGGCCAAACACAAACTGATATTCTCCAAAAGCACTGTTTCGAAAAGCATTTTTGAACAAAAGTACTTCTCAAAATAAGCAGTTNAAATGAAACAACAGAATACAGACTACCTTTTGTCTGAAGCTCTTGACAGTCTCCTTCAAAGCTTCAAGAGAAGACTGTCTACTAGATAACTCCTTCCACTCCTCGTTGAGCTTTCTCAACACTGCAACACTTGCTTCTATGTTATCCAGGTAAATCTTGTCCTGTTCAGAAAAAATGGAGACAAAATAACTGGATAAGAAAAATAAGAAAAACTTCACTCATATATTCTGTAAAAATTACTATGAATAAGATTTAACAAAGAGCAAAGTGTTTGTATAGTTCGTACCCACTGCTTGTAACAGTCAGCGCTCTGGGTCAAACACCAGTTGAATATGTTAGTTGCCTCTCGAGATAGTTTTGGATTGCCTGCGGAAGAGCCAAGGTAAACCTTGCATATCAGCCAATCTACAATCTAAAAATCACATAGATGAACCTAGGGGTGCCAAATGAGCAGGTTGGGCTGATTTTGGGCGGGTCTAAATGGGATGAGTCAATAAATGGGCGGATCAATAACCCGCCCAAAAGTAACTTGGGTTGAGATGCGCTGGGTCAAGTTGGGCTAAAATTTGGGTCATAGCCCAACTGCCCAACTCTGACCAAGCTTTAATTAACATGTATTATTTTCTTATGAATTACTTAATTGTCAAATGAGACATTTTTTCTTTTGTTTATGGTCATATATAGCATATCAAAGAAAAAATATTTTAAAGATATTTTAGCAAAGTTACTCATGGATCAATTTGGGCTGAGAAGGGTTGAGAAGGGTTGGGTCAAGATGGGCTGAGTTCAACAAATTGGCAGGTCAATGATCAGCCTAACCTTGGGCTGGTAGGGCGGATCAAATTGTTTTGGCTCAAATTGCCACTCGTAGATGAACCGAACCAGACAAAAGAGTTCAAGAAAAAGATACCTTCTGCAACTGCTTTCACGGCTAGTGAAAGTATCTGTTGTGAAACTTGCTTCATTGCTTTGCTTCCTGGGGAACCAGCAAGGGCAACCTCCTTGAGGATGGGATATACTGCCTCAAATCTTTCAGTAGCCTGAGAATAGAAATAACTAAGACATTAGAGAACAAAAATCCGACCACTACTAATGGAAACAGAAGTCAGAGAAACGTTCAATCACACCTTGACTCGCGCAGAGGGAGCTGGGAAGGTCACCCGTAGAAGCAGGTCAAGGGATGAAGGTGGTATCAGACGCTCTCCCTTCCTAACAGCCCCATTTACTAAAATTGTACGAGCTTTTGGTGCAGAGAGAATCCTGAACCACAAAGATATAATTCAAGAAGCTTGTATCAAGTGAATGCAGACGAAAATGCAACCAAGAGGTGCAATCAAAAGTGACAGACCTTTCTACCAACTGCATAATCAAGTCCCTGGTCTGTGGATTAGAACCTGATTTCCCTCCAACTAAAGGCAAGGTATGATGCGCCCACAAGTACAATCCAACACAGAGATCTCCCTGACAGGCCTTTACCAGAGTATTACTTGTTACCGTTAGAAGGCCAATATAAGGTGGAGAATAAACAAACAGTAGTTCTGTTAAAAAATGTAGCTCTGTCTAACCTGGACTATCATCCATGCAATGACTGAAAGTTTGTCTTGCCCTTGATACTTTGGGCTTTCCCGAAGAGTCGGCAGTACGTTGATCAAAACATCAGGCTTCCGTCGTAGTACCATTGCCAACGCCAGAAACATGGCAACCTGCAATTTAGTAATTTGTAGCACAACTATCAGCGCATGACGCAGTGCAGTGTTTTGTATAGCGAGAGGCGGCAAAAAGCAACGAGCGCCCACTTCACTGAGGCGAGAGGCGAGAAGCGAAGCGCTCCCCTTTTTGAAGTGAAGCGACAATTAATGCAAATATATATATCAAATTTGCATATATAAATAACCAAAAACTCAAATTTGCATATAATTAAGTTAATATGCAATTAATTGTATACTAAAACTGGAAAAATGCAGGTAAAACAAAAAAAACTGAGCAATAAAAGGTGCAAATCAATTGAGCAAAAAACTCCACAAACAGCCAAAAATCAGTTGCAAAAAGTCGGAAATCAGCTGCTGCTGGAAAAAGAGAAGAAAGAAAGAAGAAAATAGAAGAATAACAAGAAGAAGAAAAAACAGAAGAAAAGAGCAGTTTGCTGCCGGAGATGCTGCCGGAAAATTGAGACAGCTTGAAAAAGAAAAGAAAAGAAGAAGAAAACTGGTCGAAGAAGAAAGGAGAAGAAGGAGAACACTACCTGGTGTTTGCTTTGTTTGTGGGTGAAGAGGAAACCAAACCCTAACTTGCGTTTGCTGTGCGAATAGAAGAAAAAACTGTTTTAAATTTCTTTTTTTTTCAAAAAGTGTCGCAATAGGTCGCCTCTCGCCTCTCAGCGCTTCTTGCCTTCCAGGGAGAAGCGCGCGCCTTTTCTAAAACGAGACGCAACAGACAAAAATAGCGACCCAGCCTCGCTTCGCATCGCCATTAGCGACGTAGCGCTCGCTATTTACAACACTGATGCAGTGTTGTCAAGAAAAGCTCTAAAAACCACTCTGGGTCTATTGGGGCTTCAAGCGCAAAGCGCATGAAGTGTCCGTTTTTGTGAAAAAGGCACAATGAAGGGAAAAAAGCAATATAAACGTAATTCAAGAAAAATGAAAAAAGCTCATTCATAATGTTTTCCTTAACAGCTAGTGCACTTGTTTGCCGATTATATTTGTTGTTTATTACCGCTCGATTTAAGATAGAACTCATGCGCAGTAAGGCGCACACCTTAGTACCTTGTATACAGTGAAATGCAACTTAAGTGACACGAAGCGCCCTCCTTGAGATTTTCTGAGCTTCAGGGCTTAAGCGTTAAATGAGCCTTTGATAACACTGCATGATGTTTAAGGTTTTAAGAGGAAATCGTCCGAGGAAGTCGAGATATCATGCAAACAAAGCATGACATGGCAATTGGGTTGATTACAACAATAATGCCGAAGAAATTGTACTTGGTTATTGTGAGTGTGTTGTCATGCTAATCTTAGCTAAGAGTTATTTAAGTTCAACGATAATGTAGAATCAGGACATGTCTTAGTCTTGGCATCAACAAATAATTTAACTTACTTAAGTTCAACTAAAATGTCAAATCGGGACATGGCTTAATCTTGGTATCAATTAAGCCATGCCCCATCAATCTAAAAACTAGCTTGCAGTTATTCTTTCATTTTCGACTCGAGTGCTTGGTTTGATCAATTTCATCCTTACGTGACCTTATCTCAATCGAGAAATATGCTCAAGTGATACTGATAAGATCAACATGTCAGATAAAATCCAAAAAGGAAGGATGAACTAAAGAAGTAGATAAAAGAAATTACTTGTGTCACCATGACTAAAATTATATGACTTTGAGAATAACATCCACATTTTTAATGCAAAGTAATTTTATCCTCTCCTTCACCCCATTTGGCATCTTCCTAACTCTAAAACCTAATAGTGAATACAGAAAAGATGCAATATTCCTAGTACTTCTCACCAAACCGATTTACTCTTTCCCTCTTCCCTTTCCTCTCAGGATTTCCTTCTTTCATCTTTACCTTTTGCTACTTCATCCCAGAAGACGCAAACAAAAAAAATAGATACATCACCTTCTGAATGCCTGAAGGCTTCTGCTTTTATGAACAGACACATAAACACACAGAGAACTCATCATGCACAAACTGGAAGAAAATCTTTAGAGATACCTGAGATTTTGACGACGTTTGTTGACCGCCTTTCTTTGAGCCCTTAGAACCTCCTAGTTGGGTTGCCAAGTCTACAACAATACTTTCCAATGCCCACAACACAAATGATCCAAGAGCCTCGTAAGAACGTTGGTTGATCCAATCCACTGAAGTCTTATAAACTGGTTCAGGAAGATGTGAGAGAGGAACCTGTTTGTTGTAAATTAAGTTATTACTCTTCCAGCCACGTATGGTGCCAACTAGATAATTGAAAGCAACTATCACTCTATGCACAATATTTAAAACTGCATATCTAAAGACGCAGAAAAACATATAGTTTTCATCACATCATACACCAATTATGTAGCCAGTACCATCCATAGAGAGTGCAAAAAAAGTCATTGATTAAGGAGCAGCAAAGCACATTTGCTATCTATCATGTATTGGGTGTAGATTTAAGGGAGAGATTCAAGCCCTTCACTGACAACTAGATGACCAACAAAGAAAGCTTAAATGTAAGCTGAGGTCCCCGCATAGAGGTACATCAAGAATGCCAATGGAACCTAGCTGGTTTTACATGAATGAATGACAAAAAAAGCACATCATCAAAATCTTAAAGCAGAAAAGAGGAATAATTATAGAAAATTTGTAAGTGCAGCCAAATTTCTGTCATAGATGAAATGAAAGGTTATAATCATCATATTGAAAGCACGAAAGCATAATCACAGTCAGAAACTTCATGAGGAATAATATGGCACTTCACTTGGTAACATAGAGCTCAAAGACAAAAAATTTCAGGGACCAGTGACAAAAGAAATCAAAAGCCTATAGTGTTAAATATATAAATGATCAACAACTTGGTAAATTCAATGGAATGCTATGCCAAATGTTACAAATTAATACTCCCTCCATTTCATTTTACGTGTCTTAATTTGACTTACCACGTAGGTTTAAGGGAGTAAGAACTTTTGAATCTTGGGTCTTATTAAACTAAGATGTATAACATACTCAAAATGCCATTTAAATCTTGTGGTTTTAAACATGCCATGTCATGCCTACAAGAAAGTGTTGTTAAGGGTAAAATCGAAATGTTAGAATTAAAGAGTTACTAAATATAGGCATTCTCTTTAAAAAGTTTAATAAAGAAAAGTAAAACATAGAAACTGAAATAGAGGGAGTACTTTGTTTTTTCCACAGCACCTTGTGACTAGGCGTGGAGTTTATGATATTACAATTTTCTTAATAATGGTGGCACCCTGGCAATGTTGCCAGTAACTCGTTATATCCATACTTGCATCCTCCCACTCCCACTAGTACAGGTATCAACAAATCTAATCCACAAAGGCTTTGGCAGATTGAAGGAAATCACCCAACTTTTTGCTTATGCTAGAATTCAAACCCTGGTCTCTCATGGTCTTCATTCCAATTTCATTGACAGTTATGTCACACCTTTTGAATGCAGCTTAAGATATTAGAACCAAATAAGTAGGTGTGGAAGAAAAATATTAAAGTAACACTAGAAAACTTAAATTAGATAAAAAAATTTAACATAAAGTCGGGTTTGATTAGTCATTTGAAGTCTTAAAGCTTGGAAAACTCGTATTAACTAAATTTTATTAGTGTCATAATTTCAAACATTTGGAGGCGTCCAAAATACAAAGAGGCGGAGAGAACAAAGCAAGCATTTCAATGTATATCAGCAATTCTAAGTAGTATCTCATACATCACAATGCATATCCAAACATCTATTCAAGACACCAACTTAGCAACTTGGCGGGAAAAAAACAGCTGTTTCTTGCCAAAGTTCTCAAATTTGATCATGAACTTCAAAAATCGATGAAACTCACATCTGCAATTTTACTGATTGGAGACTCCCTGAACAATTTCAACCACGGAAATTGTGAACCAGCCACCGCAGCAAATGCACGTCCAAAGTAATCCGCAAATCGCATCAACTGTATTTCTTGCTGAGATTCATACGAAACCTTCAAGTAAAGACATCCAAAAAAATCAACACGTGGCTTTTATGAACGGAAAAACGAAACCATGCACAAATAGATCTTTCCCCTTACAGTCACATCAGCGAGAAAAGCAGCTAGATCAGCTGCATCGATCTTCACAGCGGCTTCAGCCACAGTTACTTTTGGCTTCTTCGGCTTTTTCACCTTCTCCTTCTTCTTCTCCTCCACCGCACCATTCTCCGCACCACGTCTACCACCTTCCGCATCGCTATCCTCATTTTCATCGTCCGACCGGTGTTTCAGCCCCAATCTAACCGGAGCATCGTCAACGCCGTACATCGCAGCCGTCTGTTCCGCAATTCTCTTGCGGCGTTCATCGGAATGCTTCTCGAGCGACTGAAACACATTATCGGCGCCTGGAACGACAGATCCGTTGGCAATTACTTTGCCGGAATCCGACGGTTTTGCCTGCTTTTTCTTCTGCTTTTTCGCGTATGTAACCTTTTGCCATCCGTGAGTGGTGTCGATTGGTCCGGAGTGATTTGATTCGAATGCAATCGATTTCTCTGCCATGATTTTCTGTTAGGGTAGGGTGCCGGAGAAAGAGAAACGGGAAAAAATAAATAGATCGGAATTTGGGGAAGAGAGAAAGAAAAGTTTGGTCGGAGACTATATAATGGAGTTTTCTCAGTAACGGGTTCCGTGTTTAAGAAAATTACGGAATGCCATTTTTGGAATATGCAAGCAACAACAACAACGCCCCGTATAATCTCACAAGTGGGGTCTGGGGAAGGTAATATGTACGCAGACCTTACCCCTACCCCGAGGAGCAAAGACGTTGTTTCCAAGAGATCCTCGACTCAAGAAAGCAACAAGAGACGATATATTAGTACCATCAATAGAATCATAATAAAATAACAGCAATATAAAAAATACGAATTAGATAGAAGGTATAATAATAACCCGCAGCAAAAGCCCTGCATCAATAGATGACCACTAGAATCCTAAAACTAACTCCTAACTGGCTAATCTCACTCTAGTGCACTGTAGAAATATTCACAACTTCCCCCTAGCCTACAACCTTAATGCTCGATCTCCACAATTCCCTATCAAGGGCCATGTCCTCAGCAATTCTAAGTCGCGTCATGTCCTGCCTGATCACCTCTCCCCAATTTTTTGTAGGTCGCTCTCTACCTCTCCTCGTACCCACCACAGCCAGTTGCCCACACCTCCTCACCGGTGCATCAGTGCTCCTCTTGTGAATGTGCCCGAACCATCGGAGTCTTGCTTCCCGCATCTCGTCCTCCATGGGGGCCACGCCCACCTTCTCTCGAATTTCTTCATTCCTAATCGTATCCATCTTTGTATGCCCGTACATCCACCTCAACATCCTCATCTCTGCTACTTTCATCTTCTGGATGTGTGAGTTCTTAACCGGCCAACACCCAATCTCATACAACATGGCAAGCCTAACCACTACTCTATAAAACTACCTTTTAGTAACGGTAGCACTTTCTTATCACACAGGACTCCCGACGCTAA